TTATTTAAGATATTTAAATAAATTTATGAGATAAATTATACCTTTAATACATGGGCCATCCTAAAATATACTTTTTTTTTTGTTAACATATATTAATGTTGTGGCTTTTCGTTGATTTCAAATCAACTTTCCTTTCTACAGTTTTAACTATAAAAAAAAAGATTTTTAAATGAGAGAATAACTTCAGTGTTAAAAGCCCTTCCCCATTTCTAGAAGATTGCCTTAGTGCTGTCTAACTATATTAAATAGTTTTATTTTAAATTGAAGAAAGGTGTTTTTTTTTCTTTTAAATTGAGGGAATTTGGGGCGTTGGGGTAGGGGGAAATAGGATACAAGAGAGTTTAACTTGGTAATGTGAGTGGAGCACTTATACAATAACCATATAAGTCATAGGTTAGGGTTCAACTGAAAAAAGGTGTTTATTAAAATACTATTAATACATTAAGTGTGAAAAGCAATTTTATTAAGATTATTATGATAATTTTAATATATAAACTGTATAGAAAAATACAATTTGTATTAAAAAAATCACTTTTTCCGTTCAAATTTCCCAGAACTTGGCGATCAGCACACAATGCATTTCTAGGGCTTAATATTGGCCATAGGAGGTCCAATTGGAAGAGACATGAGGGCTTATAATTGAAGGCCACATAAATGTGGTATTGAGCCCAATAAGCAAAGACCATCAATCCTGTCATAGACTTGAGCCCATTATTACCTGGCCCTCTAACAATCTGAATCCAAATCACTATCAGCATGCGGGACACAGACTAGAGAGAGAAAAACCTTTTCATTTTCTCCCCGTCATCTCCTTTCCCCTCATTTCTCTCTCCTCCCATTTCTTTCTCCCTCTCGTAACCGTCCGGTGAAAGGTCGATGACGCCGAACGAAGCTATAGCCGTCGATCGGTTCTCCCAGACTGTAGATATGACGTTGGAGCGAAGAAATACAGGTAACTAAAGACTGTGTTTCTGTATTTTGATTTGACGCTATTTAGCTCCGATCATGCGCCATTGAGCGTCAGATCCAGGCTCCTGACTCAAATCGGTGCCTGGAGGACAGATCTGGCGCACACCAGAGAAACGGTGTTCTATTCCTACCAACAATGACCAGCAATCTCTCGATCGGTGTTCCTAGGTGCTAATGGTGGCCGTGTCCCCACTCGTGCTATGGATTGTGCCTGTTAGGGTTGATTATGTCCTCGATATTTGGGTGCGTGCTCCCTGACTTTCTTTTTTTTCATTAATTTTTTGGTGTCTCTGATTGTTATACTGTTCTTATTGAAGTGTTTGGGTTCTATGAGAATCTAGAGGAATAGATTACTTCTTTATTTTTTTTGTAAATTTGATTTCATTTTTGGTGAATTGAATGAGATCTGTTTGCTATGTTAGTTACTTAGTTATACTCTTTAGGGTTGAATTTGTAGATTTTTTAGGAAAACAACATTATTTAGTCAATTTAGCTGTTTTAGTTTTCTCAGGAAAATAAGAGTGAGTATTTGGTAAATTTAGCTGGTTTGGTAAGGTGATTTTTCGACTTTTTTTGGCTGTTAAACCGCTCAGAGTCGTAAGATGCAGTTTTCCTTCACGGTTTTGCTCTTCATGGTACGGACTCGCTGTCTTCATGCATTTGTATTTACTCCTTGGAAGTTGTTTGTGGTTATCCTTCAATCATTTGGTAGCCAAGAACAATGTGGGAAAGGGAATAGGATCTAATTGCTTGATTGCATTTGTTTGGTTGCTGAAAGTCCCTTGGAAACTGGTATAGATATATTTGCAAATTTGTTCCTACAGTTTACGTGTATGCTAGAATTTATAATGGAAGTTGGCAGAAGGGGTTTCAAATGATTATTTATATGTAGTGTCATATTTTATTTGATTTATTTTTTGCACTCTGAAGATTTCCTTCTCAATATCTCAATACAGTCTCAAAATTTCTTTGCTACAGAGTGATCATTTTGTTTTGATGATTTGTCATATTTTTGAAGAATATTGTTTAAATGTAGGTAAATGAGGGAGAGGGATCATTGCCATGGGACCAGTACATGATTGTTTTTGATCTGATGCAGAAGTGTTACCAGGCATTCTGAGCTAATTGTTTTGAGGAGGTGAAGTTTTGTACCTTTTTTGGGTTTTATTGCATTCTGCAGACTTTTGTAGGAATTCTTTCCTCTTGTCTATGTTGATGTCTTCTTGCTCCAATTATGTCTTTATGAAACAAATAGAAAAAGGAGGGGGATGGAATATGGTAATGGAGTTTCTGCATGTCTTAAACTTGTATGTTTTTCACTCAGCAATTTGTTTTTGATTAATTTTTAGGGAATGTAAGGAGGAAGATATTTGGGTGACCATTCTTACAAAAATATGTTTCTAAATGTCAGATAAATTTTTTTATGGTGTCATCCTTGTCATTGCAACCTCCTTTGTATTTGTGCATATTTAGTAAGATTTAAAGGGGAGAGCTTCAAGCTTTAACTTCTTGATAATAAAATATGGAGTTATAAGAGGGATAATGTGGTATATCCTGTTAGTATCTTGAATATTTTTTCTTTCTATTAATTCTCGGCAATCTTATCACTAATTAGAAATCACTAAATTATACATACCTCAGGTTTAGATTATCATCCACTTGAACCCCATCCAGAGTTCTTCATTTCTACCTCTTCTTCATTATATGGACATTTTATTATTATTATTATTATAATCACTAAATTATACATACCTCAGGTTTAGATTATCATCCACTTGAACCCCATCCAGAGTTCTTCATTTCTACCTCTTCTTCATTTTATGGACATTTTATTTTTATTATTATTATTATTTTGGATGATAATTATAAAATTTGTGTTCCAAAATTAAATTCAGGTTGGGTGTTGCATAAAGCTGCCTTTCACTCCAATGCATGGTAATGAAATGTAGAAGGCTACTCTAGGCTTCTTCCTCACTCTTTTGTCCATATGCAGGTGTTGGGGTTGGTAGGCCGGCCTGTGTGAAGCTCCATAAAATAAAATGGAAAAATTTCTGTAACTTTCTCTAATCACTTTATGGAGTTTTGGGCGTTTTATCAGATTTCTATTATTTTCATTTGGGGTTTGTAAATGGCCTTTATTAATTTTTGAATTTTTAGTTGTATAATTTTATTGGCTAAAGTAGCTTAGCGGTATGCTCGGAATTTGTTTTTTAATTTTTCATTTATAATGCGTGCCTAATTAATTTATTTTGTTTGCACAGGAGAATGAGTCTTTGATTTTATTTTTATATTTTTAAACTGTAGAGACATTTATTCTGCTTTATTTTAGAAATGGTTGATCCAAACAATATTCGTATTTGACATTGTTTGAAAAAAAAAAAGGAAAAAATCTGCCCTTCTGTTCTTCCTATGAAGTTGGAAATTATCTTGGGTCAGTCGGCCCAGGACTGATGGGCTTGTAACTTATGTGCATACTTATGATAATCTGATAACGTTTTTGTGTCTTCCGGTTAATTTTTCACCTTTGGGTCAACTATTCTGCCCGTTAGATTGAGAATTTTTGTACCCAATCAAATATGATAAATTTCTGGGAGCGTAATATCCTTCCAGAAAATGTTCAAATGGTTGTTCCCAAGCACAATTGAATGTCGCATGGACTTTCAAAGTTATATGGGCCTACCTAGCGGATGAGAAAAATTTTCGGAATCTAAACCCCAATTTTTTCATTTTTGGGTCAGTAGCAACGATTTTGCTAAATTATCTGGGCCTCGGGCCCATTAAAGTAAATTTTCAACACTGAGCCCAACTTTTGGGTGATTTGGGCCACAAAAGCCCAATAGTTTAGTTATCTGGGCCTACAAGGAGCCCGGTTGGTCAGTCATTTGGGCCTGAGGCCCAATTCATAAGGATTTGAGGGCTATTAGGCTCAATTCGCTGCAATTTGTGGGCCTACGGCCCAATTGACAAGGATTTCTGGGCCGACAAGGCCCAATTGACAAGGACTCGGGGCCTAACAGACCCAATTCGAAAGGTTTCTGGGCCAACGAGGCCCAATTGACAAGGATTTCTAGGCCTACTAGGCCCATCCGTAAGGATTTTTCGGCCCACCCGGCCTTATTCGAAAGGATTTCTGGGCCTACTAGGCCCAATTCATAAGGATTTCTGCAATATTTTTAAACAACATGTCAGTTTTTAGTAATTTGGGCCTGTAGGGCCTAACTATTTGATTAATTTGGTCCTTTTAAGCCTATTAGGCACATTTCAAACTTTAGGCCCAATTTTTAAGAGATTTGGGCCTCCTGAAGCCCAATAGGTAAAAGTTAAGATCACTTGATTTATCGGCGATTAGGGCCTGCGACAAATTTGTTAATCTGTGGACCTAGAGGGTTCGTTAAAACATTTTTGGAAATTTATACCTGCTTAATCGTCAATTCAGTCAGTTTGGGCCCAATCAGTTACGTCACTTGGCCTACAAAATCCATTTTTCATATTTAGCTGACGAGGCAGTTATCAATAGGATAGTGTGAACCAAAAAATTGAAACCTTTAAGCCGTAGGGCCTATTAAACGATCTTTTATGGGCCTGTTACTCCAATCTAACAATATTTCAGACACCATCAGTACAAACAGAAAATCGAATTAATATAGACACGACCTTTTAATCATTCGAATCGTACGGCACAATGTAATAATTTATTGGCTTTTAAAGCCCTCAAGAAATTTGTTTACTCGAATATCAGGGCCTTAAAAAAGACTTTTCGGCTTACAGGCCCATATATAAACGTACAACACTCTGGATCAACAATAACCAAGTCCACCAAAAAAAAGGGGCCTGAAAAATAATAAGCCTAGAATTTTTGGGCCATTGAATTATGACACATTATTTTGAAGGCAACTTGCTACTTAAGAGTAAACCTATATGATCAATGTCGAAAATCCAAATCCCACTCAGATTGACCAACACTAGCTTCTGAATATGTAACAAGATACTAATCTAAGACAGTGAATAGCATCATTCATCCAAAGACAAATAAATAAAAATAATTTGCTGCTAACCAACTTTTAAAACATTAAAATTAAATAAACTTGCAACTGAAAACAAAGATTAATAATAATGGACATTTACAAATCCAAAACTAATTAAAATATATGAAATAAGCTGAAGTTAAGAACTACTAAAAAGACTAAAACCAGAAATTACGAGATTTCACATTTTCCCCAGAAGCTTCACGCATCAAGTGAAAATCATCACCTCAAGGCAATGGCCAAACAGACAATCTTAGAAAATGGTCCATGCATGGCAACAAGTAAACAATCAATATATTCATGAATAATGGCAACATAGTTCTAAATTAGGCACAATTATATCTAATACTTAATACTAGTACTCACCTAGGATAGTGGTCAATGCCAGAAGTATGCATGATCACACAGGCAATTTCAGAACAAAACATGAATGCATTTAAGCAGAAATGAAAAGACACAGTATGTCTCAGGATAACTGGATCTGAAACCATTGATTAGCACAGGTACCTTCACAAGCTTATTCAATGCATCCACAAACTTGGCTTCATGTAAAAATGTAAAACCGCTTAAACGTTACCTCCCAAGTTTGCAAAAAGCCTTAAATAAATACAAGAAGAGATGATGCATCACAAAAAAATTACACAGTGCCCACAGGAATACTGAGGATCCAAATGCCTAGTTTCTGTTTCTTCAATTATTTAATGAAGAAACCAAATGATTGACCATTTAACTTTAATATTGAAATTACTTTGATATGCAAAATCTTTGCAAAATGTAAACCCGTATTGTATTTGTGCTAACTGAATCCCAGATAGGCAGAAATATCATTGCAGTATTGCACCATCTAGAGCACTCTGTGCTTTCAATTAATACGTAAGTTCTTGCACTCAATTTCCTCATGAAATGAAATGAAATCAGAAGCAAACCTGCATTAAAATGAGATCACAGGCTGGGTTTCCCAAGATAATTTGTAAAAAATTTCAAAGTTTCATCTCCTTCAACCAATGCAGAACTAAACCACTACCATATTGAGAAATTATTTGCCTTTTGCTGTGTGTGTGGTTACAAAAACTTGAGCATATTTATTCCAGGAGATTTTATTACTGCAACAGAAAATGACTGATGAGTTAAAACAAAAAATTGGATAGAAATGAAAGAAATATGGGAGCAACTTGAATAAAATTGGCTCTGAAGATTCTCAACCACTAAGAAAAGCAGGCACAAGCAGTTAACAATTTAACAACATCAAACAAAAGTCAGGGATATAGGCAAGGTTCTGAAAAATAGAAAGAGAGTCATCCTAACATTGAAAATAAAAAAGTTACAATCGGTAAAATCCTATTGACATGCACATGGGCACGAAAACTTTAACACGACATCCCATTTGGTTCAATCAGAAGTATTATTCACCTCTGCCATTTATTTTTGAGGAAATTTATTACTCAAGATCACCAACTTCATTAAAAAGTTATGCAAACTTGCTTTTCCAAAAGTTATACCTTAATGGCAAGATTAATTTTAAACAAAACATGAACATTTGTGGAAATTTTACAAAAAGACATCTATTACAGACTGATAATTTACAAAAGACATCAATTACACACTGATATTCTATTTTTTAAGAGAATGACTGATATTCTAGAATAGAAATATTTGAATTCGTACTTTTTGTAGAACTAATTGTACAAAAGAGATAAATCTGCACAACGACCATAATTTATATATATATATATATAGATAAGAGTTTACTCACTCATAAATCACTATAGATTTCACAACATCAAATGATGCAAAAATCTCATATGCTACTACATAAAATCTAGAGCTAGGGCATCTACCCACAACTAAGCAATCATATTCAGGATCAATTTTCTCTTACGATGCAGGATATATGCTTCGATAATTGCAGTTTCTAAAGATTTTTTTCATGATGGAGATGAGCGATAGAAAGAATCTTGAAGTTACAAACGAAGATATAAGGACTAGTGAATTACCGAGGTATGAGCTCTATTTAGGTGCCTGACCCTCTAGAAACGCCTCAATCGGCAGCTCGATCTAATGAGAGCAAGTTAGGGTTTGACAAAAGACGGATCCAAGGTGTCTGGTCGGCGCTACGGGTCACTGCTCGCACTGGCACCCGAGAACACCGGTCGTGGCCGTCCAATGCGGTTGGCGCCACGAATTGGTAGGAAACAGAACACCGTTTCGATGCTGTTTGAGTCCCATCCGGTACTCAACTGCGTCGGATCTGTCCTCCAGGCACACACAGGTCGGCACCACTGGAGTGCCGATCCAATTCTGGAACATGGATCCAACGTCTGCTGGCGCTGCATCAGGCCTATAAAAAAGGATATCCAAATTTTTTGACTCCGACGTCAGATCTGCGCTCCGAGAGAACCGTCCAGCTAGCAGATAGTCGACCGGTGTCGCCTGGCCCCTTCGATCGGACGGTGAGGCAAGGAACAGCGGAAGGGAAAGTAAGGAGAGGAAAGCAGTGACGAAAGGAGAGAAACCAGAGAAAGGGAAAACGTATTTTGGTTAGTGTTTGAGTCGAATTAGTGTATCGGATAAGATAGAATAGAAATATTTGGGTACTGGGTTTAAGGTCCTTAAGGTATAATAAGTAAGGTAACAATTACTCACGATCATTTTTTCCTTCTATTTTGGTCCTTCTATATCCATAATGATTTCCCGATCGCCGTGTTGCACTTTGTGGAAGTGGAACCAACAAAAAAGCACCCCATTTTTTTGAAATATCCACGATTTTCTTCCAAATCTGTTATCTTTCAGTCCTTTAAGAACCAGAGTAAATACTAGGTTTGTATCAATGACATGTTAATCTGAATGAAAAAAATTCGGTTCTTCTTAAGTAAGATCTCAAATTTGAGTCTTGTGAATAGAGAAACAGGTACTATGAGAGCTTTCCCTTAATGGGATTCAACATGACTCAATTTCAAATTAGTCGAAATTTAATATGATTATCGGATATCAAGAAGTTAATAAAAAAAAAAAACTGGGTTTGTGTTTGCTTCTGGCTTCTTGAATCTGTTGGTGAGCAGATCTAGAGTTTTTTTATTATACTCCTCCATATTGCAGTTCCAGTTTGAAGCCTCTAATGTACAACCCTACATCGGTATGTTGTATTCAAATAAAGCTTTCTTATCAAGTGATCCTTTACACATTATTTTTCAAAAGTTTGCCCCATAAGCCTTAGAGGAAAATGTGCAAGTTACGAGTGGCGACTCAAAAGAGATGCTTTGGTCCTTTGGATGGGTTTAGAGAAATTTAATGAAAAAAAGGGTTACCAAGAGGGCTAGCTAACTGCCATCAACTTAAGATTGTGTTTGGTGTCAAGAAGGTTTTTCAAACTTTTGCAGTGAAGAGAGACAACTCTCCCTCATTTACTAAACCACTTCCCCCATATATCATGTCACTTAAACTCAAAATTTATTATTTTCATGCAAAAAAAATTTATCATTGAACCACTTTAATAGTTGGCAATTCAATTTTTTTAATTTAGCTTTATTTTTTTTAATTTTTTTTAATTTTTGATTTTAGGGATCAATGTGGCCCCAAACTTTACACACATTTCAAAATTAATCCCTCCTCAGTCAGTTTAGCCTAATTTTATACTTTGAGCATGAAATCACTATTCCACAGTATACATGTAAAAAGCCAATTCCCCTGTCTAATTTTCCACTAAAATGGGTTTGAAAAATGAGTTACTTCTACAAGCCAACAAAAAACAGCGGCCCTTCCATATTATCAAAGAAGCCACCAATAACAATCAACGCACAAATTCTGTGTCAAAATGATAGACGGCCACAGCCAGGGAGACAATTTGGTATTCAAAAAACACGCAAAGGAAGTCGTGAAGCACAAAACCTAACTAAAACCTTCCTTGACATTTCATTCGCTAACCTGAACAGGTTCAGTTTAAAACTGGAAGGGCTCATTGTCTCCGCATCCCTCGTCCGCGACCATGGAAAGCACCTCCTCGCCCTCTACCCATGGCACTTGCAGCAGCTTCTCCTTGAGCACTCTCAGACTGAAACATTAAACAATCACTACTAATGGGGAATCATAAACAAGAATGTGCAGAAGTATGATAGAACCTTGCAAATTTTGATGAGAAAATTTTATTTCACATGGTTGCAGTCAATGAACCAATGTGGAGCAAACATAGTGTGAGCCTCCATGAATCTAGTACAACCATTGATGATACTTTGAGTGAGCCTCTTAAAAATGTTGCAATAAAGCAAAAGGGGCAAAAATTATGGACAGGGGCAAGATTATGGACATGCAATATAAAATTTACAGGGTTAATGGAATGGCAAGCCACTGGGGTGAGATACCTAACAATTGTAGAGATCTAAAGTGCTATTCTGGCCCTAGAAGGAACCAACCAAAGGAACAGCCACTCCAGCCACAATAAACAAACTGAATGTCTAATCCTAAACATGCAACTAGTGTCCACCTCTGCAGAGTATTTTATAATAGCTTTCCTCAACACTAATTTTGTATTCTGTTTTTCAAGACTTCATACAGCTTCGTTGGAAACATGCCAGTACTATTGATGCAAGCTAGTATTAAGGTCCAGAACTCCATAGATATATTGAACAACATTTTAAATACCTTAGGGTTCTTTACTGTTTCATCCACACTTAAAACAAGGCAGGCGGCTTCAGTGGCAGCATTGATGGCATTTATCTGTCAACAAACCAATCATCCACCACAATTGAAGAAATTTCCACAATAACATGACGAAACAGCTATAGAAGGCATTATTGAGCTAATAATCACTAGTTGGATGATAGACAAACACCTTAACAACTGCTGGCTCCCAGACGAAATTAGAGAATGAATCTGCAATTCCACCAGTGTTTATATCCACTCCATAAGGTGCACCCTCACCTGTTTGGAACCTCAAGCTGTTAGGGTAGTAAAAAAAAAAATATGGTGAAGCACAACACCACCAAAGCAATCAAGCTTGTCACAACAATCCAGATAAAATTCCCTTTTCAGATATTAGATACCCCACTCTCAACAACAGAACCCAGGCATAGAATGTTTACATCATCAGAATGATCTTTGCTTAGAAATAGATTAATAAAGATGAGCTAAAAAAGTAAAAGAAAGAAAAATTAACAACCAGATGGAAGTGCATGCTTCTGTCTTAGTTTGTTCAACACATCAGTTGCATCAAATCCAGCATTGTCACATAGTTGCCGTGGAATAACCTGAAACATCAGAAGATAACTCATAAATCATCTATGTTAAATGTGAAGTAACACAACTATAAAGGAGAGAACAAGCCATATGGTTCAAGAGCAAAATACTATATTAACAGCAGAAAATCAGATACTTGAACACAACCTACCTCAAGAGCTTTTGCGTAAGAGTTAATAAAAAGCTGAGACTTCCCAGCTATAGTACGTGCATGGTGCCTCAAGTATTTACTTATCTCCATCTGCACCAAAAGCAACCTTTGTCAGAATAAAAGAGCAAAACTTCTAAAAAACATCAATCCCATTAGCTATCATAGACATACATCTATGGCACCACCTCCAGCAACTACAGTAGAGTTCTTCAAGGCTCTTCTAACAATCATGATTGCATCATGTAAACTCCTCTCAGCTTCCTCAATAAACTGAAAAATTAAGCATGAGCATCAAACATCAAGGGTAAATATGAAAGAAAGATATGAAAATTAACAATTTCACTGTTTACAATTAATGACAAACCTGATCAGCTCCACCACGAAGTACTATAGTAGCTGTCTGTCCTGATGGACACCCACTGAATATGTTAAACCTCTCATTCCCAACCTGCCTTTCCTCAAAAACCTCACAAGTTCCAAGAACCTTTGGAGCATAAAGAAATAAATCAATTAACAACAAGAAAAGACAAGGTATCACTAGCAACTTTTGAAAATAAAGATTAGATCAGAAACTAATAAAAACAACGCTAATCACCTCATCAATAATATTGTTGACAGATGTCTGTACATTACCCCCAGTTGCAGCAGCAACCCGCTGCAAGTCTTCCTCAGCTACACGACCAGCACAGAAAACATCTCTATCCGCAAAATACTGTCCATAACACACTTCTAATATTAGTACTAGAACTAAAAGACTGCTTTAGTCATAATTAGAATCTTGAGCTATCAATTAAAATTAATTAGCAGTTCATTGTGAAAAAGGAAACTAGTTTTCACAAACCAATCCCCATTTGAAGCAGTCACAAAAGAACAGACATGCACAAGCAGAATCGATGGGATTCTATTCTTGATGCCACTTAAAGTAAAAATCTAGTCATAATTTAGGAACTGACTACAAAAATCTACATACCAATTTAGAATTAAATCTGAACTATAAACAATGAGAACATTTAGCATCTAAAATCTAGAAAAGAATCTCAAACCTGTGTTGCCAGATCTCCAATGGCCAACCGTGAAAGAACAACTTTGGCACCACTCTTCACGCATTTATCCAGCTTATCATAGATGATATTCCATTCAGCATCAACAATTGACTGATACTGTGATGGATCTGAAAGTCTACAGAAGATAAAGAGAGCAACAGGGTCAAAAAATTTAACAAAACATTTCACTTGATGGTAAAAGAACTACTTTTAGGAAAGGTATAAAAATCAAGGAAACTAAACAACTTTGCACCTTATCTCAGCATTTTCTTTTTCAGATTTCAGTTCCAATTCAATGTTCAGTAAAAGAATCTTGGGATTCACAAACTTCTTTGGCTGCTGTTCAAAACCTGCATACGAAAATGTCTTCTTAAAGGCAACACCATTTACTAGAAAAGAGTCCCGCATGGTACCACCAGGAACCTGTGATAAAAGGAAAGCAGAAAGCATGTTGCACTAGTTACAAGATATTATTGCCAGCCAGTCAGTGAATTTCCGTCAAAGCATGGCAAAGAAAAACCCCAAAAAAAGTTTGCCCCTAAAAACTGTGTTTCCACAAAGGAATGTACCTTCTTGATTCCAATCATATTTAGTCTATCATCATTCCCAATTGCAATGACAGCATTGACCACCATTGATGCAAAGAACTCCCTTTCTCCACCAATGAGTTTTGAGGAGAGTGTTGTTGCCGCACATTTAGCTAATAAGCTTTTCTTCTCTTCTAGACTTTTCCCTTCTATACTAACAGCTAATTCGTTGATCTTCTCAATTGCCTGTTATATTGCATAACATCCAGGTTACACATAAAACAAAATTATTACAAAAGCAAATTCACGCCCATGCTTATAAATTGAAAACAATTGAAAAATAGTCATAATACCAAGTAGCCTGCAGTACGGTAGCTGCGTATCATGTTCTGTGGGTGGACCCCATCTTCTATAAAAGGTTTGGCCTCCTTCAAGAACTCTGCTGCAAGTAGAACTACAGTCGTGGTTCCATCACCAACCTGCAATGCATATATAACAGGTTAATCTCCTAAAATGCACGATGATGTTGAGTTAATGCCAATGACAAATCATGTACAATAAACCCAGAAGGGTGGACAAAGGAAGAAAGAAGAAAATCACACAATTGCTAAGATGAAAACATCACAGTTCAAATGGCAGGAATCAGGGTTGGACCCCATGGAACTTAGGTAAAACAAAACCAAGTCTATAAATACTTATTATGGTAAGTTAATATTGAAGGTGAAAACACATTTACTATCCACGAAGTACCGACAAAATGAAGGGCAAACTATTTTGTGACAACTATGTATTATTAATCTGCTTCTGATGAAAGTGCACAACAATCACTGAGGCCATGTGAAGTTTCAATAGTGAAACATGTTCATCACTAGTTCATTACAACCAATTTATGACCCAAAAATGCCAAATGATTTAACTTTTGAAATCAATTAGAAGATGAAGAATCGAGATGACCTCAGAGTCCTGGGACTTGGCAATGTCTACGAGGATCTTGGCAGCAGGATGAACTATGTCAAGCAGCTTCATAATGGTGGCACCGTCATTGGATATGGTGACGCAGCCCTTTTCGTCGTGAATGAGCTTGTCCATCCCTCGGGGGCCGAGAGTGGTCCTGACCACGTCCGCCACCGCCGTGCAGGCGTTTATATTGCTGACAAGCTGCGCCTTCCCCTGGGACGTATCCGTACCCTCCTTCAGCAATATGATCTGCGGTCGCTGCACCAGTAAAATACATCACACAAAGAGATTAGTCAGTATCAGAGATTCACATATACGGACACACAGCTGCTAACAGACTTCCCCAGTGCTTACCAGCATAGCTGCCATTGTTGCTGAAAGGAACAAATGGAAGGAAACACAGAGGGAGTTCTAGGGTTTCGCTGTGAGAGTGGAGGTAGAGGCTTCCGATTTTTTCCCGGCTATCTTTAATTATTGGCAAAAAGGACAAATCAGCACTTGTACTCTTTAATTGGTGTCAAATCAGCCCCTCAACTAAAAACAGAAGCTTATAAACCCTTGTACTCTTCGAATGGTGGTAAATGAGCCCTTAATTGAGCAATTCGTTAAGTCAAGTGAAGATTATAGGGGCTGATTTGTCACTATTTAGAGAGTGTAAGGGTTCAAATGCTTCTGTTTTTAATTAAAGGGCTCATTTGCTACCAACTGAAGACGACAGGGGCTGATTTGCTCTTTTTGCCTTAATTATTTAGCCCATTTCAAATGAATTCGTTTGTATTTCCAGTTTCGGACTCGTTTATGGACTGGTCACCGGCCCACTGATATGACTCTACTTTAATGGGCCGAGCACCATAACTTTAAGTGAATTCAATTGGGCTTGCACATAGTTTCAAGGTTGGAATTGCCCGCCTAGGTTGGGCTCCTTGCTACTCCCTCCTTTTTGTCCTGTGTTATTGGTTTTGATTGGCATTC